CATCTAACCCTTCAATGGGAGTCTGTTGAATTCCTGAGTACTGGGAAAAGGGTTAGCATGAGTTTGTTTATTTTTCTGCGTGCGTCAAGAGTTCTTGTGTGAGAACACCATCTCATGATTGTTATAAACATAAACCCGATTTGTGTTGGCCGAACAGACTCAGACGTTTCCTGTTTTTCTAGTCATCTGAACCCAAAGACTTCCTCTGGCTGATACTGTATGTGGTGTCCTCACATTTCCAGTCCCATTCACTGTCACTATACAGTGTTACAGCCACTTTCACTGAGTGCAGCAATTTCCTTAATGTGAGGCCATTTTCAGTCATAGGAGACCTTGACCATGAAACTACCTGATGGTGCTTTGAGTGGCGAACACCAACCACTTGCAGCAATTCTCCACCTGATAATGTGTCTTTAACTGTAAACCACAATATGAAAGCCAAGGCAGTTCAAACCCTGCTAGCGACAGTTTAACATTACTCAGGAATTTCAACAAACACGTTACTGGTCATGTCCTTGAAATGCACTAGTATTTCTGCACTTGCAGTATTAATTATCATATAGCTTTAATAGGTGAAGTAGAAAGTATGTGTTAATTGGTCTGCCTCTTAGAAAGGAAAGCTGTATCTTATCTTTTGTTAGGAAAAAGTCTAAAGTCTTACAATGTGTTTTGCTATTGCCACATACGTTATATGAACTCAGGCAAACTGTGAATAGCTGCTCTACTTTTCATACAACATGCTCAGTGAGTAGTTTAATCAGAATTTCTTTAGATTAGAAAAAGATAAACACCAAATTCCCTATCTGAAAGTTCCTACACCCAACTCTGACAAAGATATTTCAGAAAACCGTTAATATAAAAGCCCACAAGTTGGGGTTTGACGTGCTACATTGAAACATGAAAACACTTATTGTTATTGCGGAAGATGATTACAGAACCAACCTAACTACACAACTTCCCCTTTTTATTTTTGGTTGACACTATGTTCAGATAACTGCAATTATCTGAACGTTTATAATGCCTGTGAATGCATTATCTGTTCCTACTTTCATCCCACCAGAGCAGCTGTATTTGGTTAAACTCCCAAGTGATTGTGTGTGTGCAAAAGTGAGTTGCTTAGCTTTGAAGCATACCAGGAGGAAGAAGTAAGATGGAAGAGGCACTCCGTACTCTCCTGGAAAAACGGCCTCCATGTACCAGGCCACCAACCCATAGATCACAGAGTCAAACAGCAGCAAACACAACACCTGGCCCATGGAGAAGTCATCGTCCACAGTCACCGAGTCGAACAAGTTTGACCACTGGATTCCCGTTCCTACAGAATGGAAGAGAGACAAGATAAACATTATTTTAAATGTTGTTTCAACAGTCAGGGAAAGATAAATTAATACAGCCAGATATCTCAAAAAGGTATAGATTGTATTTTACAAAATTGACTTTGACCGTAACCGCTCACCTTTGCCTTCAAACATTCCTATGAGCTGAGCTCCCATAGACATGGCCACGTTGGAGATGAGGCAGGCTGACACTTTTTGGGCATGGCTCATCAGGTCGTAGCGTGGCCACAGGAACAAATAAGGCAGGTAGCTCAGGAAATAGATGAAGCCGCCCGCTGCTGCCGCCACATTCGCTGAAGTTAGACAAAAGAAAGGAAAGGAAAGAAAGAGATGTTGAGTGGCAAGATGTAATGGGTGAATTACTACGTGAGGAAAACTGCTTTTGCTATAAAAACCCATTACCCGGATTGACAGAGCAAGTCTGGGAGTGCTGCTCAGATGAAGCATTAAGAAGTACAAGTGAGAAATGGTGGACATTTTGAGCAGATGAGGTGCGAAAGACATCCGAACATCTGTTCACACAAAGATTGCCAAAAGAGAAAAAAAAAAATCAATCTTTGTTCTAAAATAGCCAAAAAAGGCACTGGAGGTTCCTCTCTGTTGGCTTGGCATATTAATCTTAAAAGTCCCTCATCGCTAACTCTTTCCTCTTAAGTTTACAAATCAATATATATGGAAAACCCTTAGAGCTATTTTGTTCATTTTGTAATGATCTTTGTCTTTTGGCATGTATTGAAGTGCATATGAGGGGGAAGGAAGCAGATGATAATGCAGATTGAGCTAATGTTGGTAAGTAATTGATGCAGTTTTAATGACTTAAGTCGAGCTGTCAAATACCACAGTTTGGACAATTATTCGTGGACAGCAGACAGACCGGGCTTAAGGAAGTCTGAGGAAGTAGGAAGAAGAAAGAAGAAATGCAAGCCGACTCCTTAGGCAAATAATAATAAAGTGCCATCAAGTGCATGTTTCTTGTGTATGTATTTAAATAAGCCAGAAAACAACACTACAGCATGACTAAGCAAGTGCTAACAGTGTTGCAACTGCTTTGCAAAGGGCTACATAACACTGAGGCTCTGAACACATGCAACCTGAGCTGCTGGGCTGCTGGGCTTCATTCATATTCTGGTCTGAATGAGGGAGAGCACAAAGAGGGTGGACAGATAGGATTTAAACCGTTTTCTTTATCGTCTGAGTTGTTCAGGCTGGAAGGGGTTCTTTAATTTAATGTGGTTACAGAAAGGAATACAGAAAGGAGCTCTGTACCACTTAATACAACAATTCTACTTTTAAGAGCGAACAAAACCTTTCTCTTCACCAAGAACCTGCCCTATTCAACAGCAGCAGATTAAATCAAACAGTCATTACATGAGCTACATTTTTATATAAGAATGTAATAGGCTTTTAAACCCTTTGTGTAGTTTCAATGTTGCATTTATTGCTGGGTTTAAGCTTTGAACCAGCCAAGCCAACAATAGACACTTATACACTGATGTTATACTTATGCACACACTGACCTATATCTGAGAGGCTACAACAAGCCGGAGAGGAAAGGGCATGGGACCACATTGTACACAACAGAACACAAAGACAGGCAGTGAAAACACATGATCATTATTCAAAGTGGACAGACCTTGTGAGAAGAAGGCACTGATCATGAAGCTGAAGTTGATGGTGGCCACAGTGAAGAAGAGCAGGAAGACAAAGACCAGCGTAGGGTCACTGTAGGTCAGCACTGCTCCATTAGGGCTCATCTAAAAACAGGTGAAAGCCAGATCTGTGATCAGTTATGACACATTTAAACCCCCTTGAATAAAAAGGGAAAAACGACTACCTTATTGTTATGAAAATTGTATAATAATGTAATAAAATACTTGATAGTTTGCTTCCCCAGCTATATCTCTTTTTCTTTTATAGTATTGCTTCCTCTTGCTTTGTACAAAACCACTGTAAACTTGGCTTATTAGTCTACAAAGTCGCACTGTATAAAGTATTGCTTTGAGGGCTACAGCTAAGCTACATACTTTCTGTACAAAATAAATACTGCAGGTATTTCCACTAAATCATCTTAACAGGATTATGATACCTTTGGGGAAGTTATTTCAAGCTGGAATGTGGCTTCTGTAACAATGTTTTGTAACACATATACTCACATGGATACAAAGGAGTAGGGTGACGAGAAAGATTGAAATGGAGAGGAAGAGGGAGAACATGAGGAACCAGGCGCTCCAGTGGAGCCAGTTGCTGAGGCCCATCATCCTCATGTACTCCTGAAATACACAAGAAAAGTTTGAAATTAAACAACATTTTTACTACTTATTTTAACACCAAGAAAACATCCCTTCGAAAAAAGGCACGCAAACACACCTTGAGCTTCCTCTCCTTCTCCTGCACCACGGCTCGCACGATGTTGAGCGAGGTGTAGGTGAAGCTGAGCACCAGTATTAGGGGCAGCTGGTTCTGAATGGCCAGGATGAAGACGTCGTAAATAAAGGCCGGGTAAGGAAACCGTGACAGGACCACTCTGGTCTGTCGCAGCAGAGAGGAAGCAGACGTTCTGTTGAAAGAGCGCATGATGGCTCGGTCCACTGCGTGCTGTACAGCAAGGAATCCCTCTCGACGATACCCTTTAAAAAGAGAAAATAAATATCAACACTGAAGAAAATATGTTGAAAAAGAAAGACTTCTACTTTGACAAAGGGACCTGTTCTCCCAGACAAAGCACTCCGTGTTAAATAGGTTTTTTTAAATGTGAAAATGGGTAAGAGGCCTTGAGGAACACAAGTGGAGCTGCAATAAATGAGTTATTATGCATTTAGAGGTTGGAAATCCATAATCATGAAATACTCAAAGCTTCGATATAATGCTATGTGGATGACTTCATATTTTGGACTATGAGTGTTTTGAAACCTCATTATTTTAGTACGGTCTACAGCAGAACAGTGTCTTATCCAATCATGCATTAATAATCAACCTCAACCTAAGGGACACATGTGAAGATAAAGTGGAGAGTGTTTGTTTACAAATGCCCTACAAATGATGCGAGGGCACGACGAATCTTACTAAAACTAGATTTGTAGGGCCGTGGTTGCCATGGAAACGCAGCCTGAAGAGAGGACTCTGCTGCAGAGATCGTTGAATATAAATGGTTTTCATCAATCATAATCTCCGTTTCAGCAGAGAAATAAAACTGGTGACATTATTTTGTGGCTTTTAAAATGACTAAAGCTAAAATGAATAAGTCCTCTGAGAAATTCAGTTTTACAGAATATTTCAATGTTGTTGTTACTTGTTTTGGCTTAAATCTGACGGGTGGGAGGGAGGAAGTGGAACAGACAGATAAAGAGAAACAAAGAAACGGTAAAGATGTGTGTTCTCACCAGGCGTGCCCCCATCCTTGTCGTACTGCTCCCTCGGCCCAGGCAGTTGGAAGAGGGGGAAGAGGCTGAGCGTGTGCCAGTCCAGATCGCTGTTGGGGTTCAGCTCAAACTTCTCCTGGGCAGGGGCGTTACGTGGGGAGAAGCTCAAACGCAGGTGGTAGCTCACCTGTTATTAAGAGAGCATTAAAGAGAGCGAAGGCTGAGTGGAGTGAATTTCATACATCAAGAGTCTTTGATAACTTATCTTTAAGTAGTGCAAGTTCCAAATCAGTTTTATTGACTAAATACATCAACCTATTTGTACGTTGTTTAATTTAACTTTTACAAAGTCTTCAGAGCTTTTTCTTTTATCTTCTGGTTACACAGCTTCACACCTAATGACAGAAACAGCCTGAACAGCATTGTTAAAATGTGCTCTAAGATTACTTAAAGGTGACCTATCATGCAAAATGCACTTTTGTACGTCTTTTATACATGAATATGTGTCCCCGGTGTTCTAGGGAACTCACCAAGTGTCAGAAAACACAACCCTCTGTATTTTCCTCCATACCCAAATCTCTTAAAAAGGGGCTGCAACGGATCTGATACAGACTGATCCAGATTTGAACACTTCTGTGACGTCACAGAAGTGGCGCTACGGCTATTGGGCCAACTCCACCAATCAGGAGGAGACAGCCACGGACATTGCCGTTGGAAAGCGCTGGAGACGCTGTAGTACATATGCCAGGCCTGTAGATGGTGCTGTTCTCACAGAATCAGCCCATGCAAAGACAGTGTTAAATTGAGCGAAATGAGGAATGGCTAAAATGCATGATCTGTTTGGTATTTTGAAAAATAAAAAGTATAAATATGTCTTATATAGGTATGGTCCTACACTATATTATTCAAATATAGCATGATAGGTCCACTTTAAGTTAACAAACAGACCAACATCGAGCCAGCAGCAACAAAATCCTTCTGAAACCAACAAGAATGTTTGGCTTCTTTGAGTCATGTTCTGGCAGGTACATTATTTGCCATTGTGTTCTATATGCTAGTAAAACTAACTGCCATGCAAAACCATTCATTTCCTCGGCTTACTTTGAATTTAACAAAAGCAGAGGTTAAATGGCAGAGTATCTGTTTTGCCAAATAAAGACCACCATTCTCCATGTTAGTATTATTTTGGACCATAAATGTGGTAAAAGTATATACTACAACGTTATTATTTGTTAACAAAACCACAAATATTTACATTTGTGAGTTGTCGTCTCTTTGTTTTTTTTGTTTTTGCCAATCGTTCGAAGAAAAAATATGTAGGAAAACATATAATGACAATGTTATAATTTATCATATCGCTAAACATAATATAATGCAAGTCAATAACACCTCCTTATCAGCTGCTAACAGCTAACAGCTAACTTTAAGTAGGGCTCCTCCCTGCTGATTTAAACACAGATTTGTATTTCACAATGTATCATTATCAGGGTGCGTCCCCTGAACCAGAAGATAAGTAAACTGCGTCATTTCACATTTTGAAGCTGCAACAGTATGCCTTTTGTTTCCAGGTAATTTAGAAAAATTACTTTTGTCATGTTTTTTTGAATTTTGGCTTTGACTTGGTACTAAAGTTTCAGTTCTAATTACCTTCTTGATTGCTGGCGTGTGTTTTTATGTTTATGGTTTCTGGCAGCAAGAAAAACTTTCTCCAGGGACAATAAGGAAACAAATACAGTCTGAAGTCTTCAGGCATATTAAGTATGTCAGACTTCTTCAGAACACTCAGATAAAGCGCTGTACACACCTGAAAATTCACATCAGGTTTTTCCTGCCACACAGAAGGAGAAGCTTCATCTCTACCTTTATTCTACTTTGCATTTATCATAGCAGACATCAATCTGGTAGTTATAATTATGTGATATCACAAAGTTAGCATGCACCCCGATGCTATTTAATGTTCCAAAACATGTTTGTTAGTGTAAGACTCGTCCTTCTTTGTTTAAACTACCAACAGGCAAAAAAGTAAACAAACTGGGTTTTAAGGAAGCACTGAAAAGAGCCTGAACCAGAATTATTAGGAACACCTTTTTATTAAATTAAAATGTAAATTATTCATCCTACTGAGAAAAAAATAAGTTTTATGTTTTTGTGTTGCATATTTTACACTAAGTAGTTATGCTTCTGTTCAAATACAGAAAGAATCATTTACCCCTCATGTTGTGGCTAAACTCTGCATGCAGTGACAACCACTTGTTTTGACAGTGTGTGTTTGCTGCCTCTCACCTTCAGGGGCAGAGGTTCATCATCGTGGGTGAATGGATGCTCAAACACCACAGCAGCCAGCAGCTTCCCTGACTTAGGGTCACTTCTCACATACTCCTCAAACTGCTCTTCTGTCTCGAAGCCACGCACTAGAAAAGACACGTACACACAAAAAACAAACAACATTAGATCAGTGTGGTATTCTCCTCACGTAGGTCTGTTTTCATGCCTGTCTCATGGGCTGACCTTGGCGCTCGCTAATCTCACTGACAGCCAGGAATATGGTCCAGACGCTGTCGGCATACTAAATACTAAGGTGAATATTATCAATACAAGAGGTCATATACGAGAGAAAAAGGTGCACTTGTCACGGTAAACTAAAGAGCAAAAAGGTACGCCCAGAGCCATAACACACAAAAGACATCAAAGCAGGCGAAATGAAGATCAATAAAAACAGCGTGGAGGGCAAAGAAGATCTGATTAGGTTTTCTTTTTACTTCAACCTAACCATAAACCGCACATGTAGGTTTTCTGAGTATGGCAAAAGACATCAGTATTACATATTGTTCCAAAAGGTACATCTGGGTCAGTCTCATTGAATAAACATTTGCATGCAGACACACAGAGTTAAACAGGTCAAGGACAATCAGCTGCCAAACACACTAGTTCAAACATGTATTGGTCACATTGACCTTTAGCTGTACGACTAGCTTGACCCCATCGTTCCTAAACAGGGGCTGTTCTTTTTTTTCAGAAATCTAAATTTGCACAAAGTCATATCCAAATATTTGGGAAAAAAACATAACCATCTACATAGAGTTATACATTGGTGTGATGCTTATCTTAGGTAAATATACTGTCACAATGACCAGTAAGTGAGCTACGCTGACCGCACAGCACACATCCCCACTAACATGACTCAGCTCAAAGTATTGGATATATGGTTTTTGATATTTAAGGATTCAAGTTCCAAATGTTTGAACATGGTTTAACAACTAGCTAAAAGAACAATGGCTAAACATATGAGATAATTACCTAAAAGTAATGGTTAAGCTGATCAAACAAGTAAGTATTAGTAAAGGAAGAGGAAGTTGAATGAATTAACATGACCGGCTTTTTAACAACAACAACAATTTGAGATTACACAATAAAGGAAATCTCATTTAACAAATTGATTATTTCCCAACACAGCATGTAAAGTATAAACCAAGAGTCAACACCTCATATCTTTACACCACAGACACAATGTGGGGCCTCTTTTAGAGTTTCCAGTTCAACAACCCTACTGCTTTTTTGTAAAACTGACATTTGAAATATCACACAGCTTCTAAAACCATTCATGAGAGTCCAATCGTTATTGGTCAGAACATTGACGTCACATTTTGGTATTCTTCTGTGTGCATAACATACTCAAATTCAACCTTATTCCACCTTTCCCTCTAAACAACCAGATCAATTATTCATTAATGGCTGAGCTGGGATCTCATGACAAAACATGCTGCTACATCTCTGCCTTCAGCCTCACACTACTGCTATCTTGCTAATTGTCTGTCAGCATGGCTATACACATTATGTCAAACATGTTTGCACACCTGTGACTCTGTGAGATTGTCTGCATGTTTACCTACATAGCTGGTCACACATGCAGAAGTGTGTGTGAATCAAAAAGAGATTGTAGAAGTCCTAAGAGAGGAGGCTACACACTACAGTGTGTTTGTTTTGTTTCTTTACACAGTTACATTCCCAGTTGGTACAGTCTGACACGGGAGTACGCGTTTGCTCTCCTGAGGGCAGTTTCAAGAGAAACCAGTATTTCCACTTCTTTCCCTAATTTCAAAGGTGTTAAGGTTGTGGTATTCGTTTCAATGGTTATGTGCTGGTGCTAACAGATCAGTTTGGGATTTAAACACAAGGCCAGAATTTGAAAGCAACTTCTTCCTTTATAAGATCTCAAATGTTTGCAGACCATTTCTGTCAATGTTGTACAGCTTCAGTATGTGATTATCATTTTGTTGTAACATTTTGTTATTGAATTTCAAGCCATTTTTATTAAGTCTTGCTAAATATGTGTTGGAGACAACCAAGGAAGAAGACAAGATTATTTATCTTCAGAAAAACATTTCATACATCTTTTTTAATATCCTAAATCTATTATTATTATTTGTTATTTATAAAATGTATTCATAAATTAATATGATCTGATCTTTTTCCATGGGTGAATGGATCTTGTTTGATCCTTGCCCGACTAAAGAACAACCGTCAGATGAGCCACCAGAGCCATGAGAGCTTCCTTTCTCTGTTGTTGATCATTTATGAAGTGATATTAGCTATTTGAAATAAATAGTATGATATTTTGGGAAATGTGCTTATTTGCTTTTATGCCAAAAGTTAGAAGATAAGGTCAGAAGATCAATACCACACTGTCGAGTGAATTCACAGCAAGCAGCAAGTAAGCATAACTTAGCCAAAAAATGAGAATCAATGGGAAATAGTTTTGCACGTTGGAGGGAGCTTTCCCATTCCCAGTCATTATACTAAGCTAAGATAGCATATATATTATAAGCATTGGATGCTCTGCTTTTCACAGATTTGCATTTGTAGTTTATTTTTAAGCAAGCCAACATCATTCGATAAGTGTCCTGGATTCTAGTCACCCATTTACTGCCCAGATATGACCCACCTGCGGAGAAGAGAAGGCTGCTTCGCACGTCCTCTGCCACCTGACGCACCACACTGGAGTTACCGGGCACATAGGCCAGCTGAAACTGTTTATTCAAGCCCCCTGGTAGTTGGTTAACGTCGAAGCTCCCATAGACTGTGGCATTTGGGTAGTCCTTAAAAGGCACCTTCTGACGTAGCACAATGAGGATGCAGGAGAAGAGCAGCGGCAGCAGGATCTCCACCACGGTTACTAGGATCTGACGTTTCTGGAGAGCAAGAGCACAGGTAATCTGTCATCTTTTTGAAATGGGTGTATAAAAAAGGTAAAATAAAAAGAGGAAGAAGATTAAAAAAAAAGGAGGGTGATGGATGAATTACGTTTTTTTTTGCAGATTTCAGGGTTTCACAAAATAGGTGAATTATCAAGAATTTGACTAACAGACTGAACAGTATTGGGATTAATTCACTAGGCTATGTTTGAGAGAATAAACATGTCTTAACTTAATACCTCTATAACAGATTCAATATGGCTCCATATTTTTGCAAGAGGTGAGTATTGTACTATGAGACACACAGAACTAAGAACACTATAGCGTTGAAAAGCAAACCCAATTTCCATGTTGTCAATACGCTTTGGAAATGCTAACTGCACCTAATTTTCAGTGGAGGTGGGTTCTGGATATCAATGTATTCCTTTAACTCTATTCAGAATTGAAATAGACAGCTTCCCAGACAGCTCACATGCACAATGTCACAGCCTCCTATTGTTGAGTGATTGGAGTACAAAGTGACTTGAACAGTTTCAGGACATTACAGTCAATCTAAGACTTTCCCTTTTCAGGACTCAATCGGTTTTGTCACTTGGAGAGGAATAAATATAGTCCGATAATAGACATGTTTTCTGTTTTCAATGTTTTTAAAGTGTGTTTCAATGTATGAATACAATTGTTCATAACGTTGTTTGACACCAGTTTTCTAACACTACAAATGCAAGGACTTTGTGATACCTCTTTTGGTGAAATGGGGACATCATCTTTGAGATTATTATTTTATAAACAGCACTGGAGGTAGTCTTAGATCTAAGAGTTCCATTTTCAACAACTGCTCCACCATGCAGACAGACAATTCCAATTCTGGATAGCTGCACGCATTGTACAACCATCAAGTGACATTAACGTTAAACATTATGCAAGCAGTCGATCAGAGCATCAAACTGTCCTTTGTAAAAATTAATTCCATGCTTCTGTGGAATGAGGCTCTCCCTAAACGTGATTTTCCACTACTTAATGGTGCAATCCTCAAATAAACTGTGAACTAAAACTTTTTTGGAGTTAAGATCAGTTGTGAGTAACCCTCTTAACATGTTACCAACAGCTAAAAAGTTAAAAAAATAAAAATTACTACTACTTAATATATATAATTGCAATATGACAGGACATGTGTTATCATGTTTCCATGTATATAGAGTTGCTCATAAGTAATTGCCACCTTTTATCCTTCAAATGTTTGTATTTATTGTTTCACTCACAAAACTGTTTAGAACTTCAGACACGTAAATGTATAGTTACATGTTTGTATGAATCCTGTCTAATGATCTGTAACAATTGGAAGAATAAATAATTATGCAATATGCACATACAGTATACAAACTAAACAGTATATACATGCAACCTAAATATTCCTAGTAAATATACTGCCTCCATTTTTATACTTTTTCTAATTAAATTAATGTGGATCAAAAATACTATATTCATAGATAGATGCACAACAGTATCACAGCATTCACATTTATTTATTTATTTGTATGATTTCTATTTTTATTCTAATTTAAATATAATACATATTGGTTTAAACATGTATGGGAGGCTGTGGCTCAGTGGGTAGTGTGCTGGACTTCGAATCAGGGGATGGCAATTTCTAGTCCCACAACAGTCAGCATGTCGTTGTGTCCCTGGGCAAGACACTTGCTCCTGTGGGGATTGCCCACAGTACTGAATGTATGTAAGTCGCTTTGGATAAAACCCTAACCCCACTACATTCCATCTATTGTATTAATAAATCATTAAAAGATCCTTAATTCCTGAAAAAGTTCAAATCTTGATTTACAGTAAAGATAGCCATATAAGTCTTTAAAACACAGCTTGCACATGTTGACCTAGCTCAAGTCTGTGACACAACAACAGGCCAGCAACACCGTGTATTATTCTGCATGTTATTGGGGTAAAGCATGTTTCCAGGTAGCAGGGCTTACATCATAAATTGTAGAAAACAAAATGTTAGTCAGTTTTCTGTATTTACGATCTCACATACGCTTATAATTTAGCAAATACTGTCATGCAGGCCTCTGCTCTGCAAACACAGATACTTCTGACATTTCACAGTTATAAACAATGTCAGCACCGAATAAGGACAAATGCATGCTTGTTGTAGGTTCACCTCGCTCCAACTCACCTTCTGAAGATAATTTTTCCACAACAGAAGTCCAAATTGTCGCGCGATTGCCATTTTGAGCGTTACACAGGACACAGTCCAGTTAGCCTAAGAGAGACGGATGAGAGTGACATTTGTAACGTTTAAAATTAGAGCTAAGTTTACAATTCAATCTTTAAGATGTTTTAGAAGATTTATTAGAGCTTAGTTGTGTCTTCCACCAGCAGTGATGTTCTTTCTGATCTCAGATTATATATAACAATCATTTCAGAAAAAAAGAGAAGTACAATTGAACAATCAGCAGTGTCATGATGTTTTAGTCATGTGCAGAAACTGTAACAACTTTTAAGTGAAAACATTTTAACTGATACATTTAAATGAAGGAGTAACATCAGTCAGAAATGTTGTTCAGTTTGAAAAACATATGGACAAAAAAAGCTTTAAAAAAACAGATCATTCACATCCACATGTTAAACCAGTTAGACAGGCACATTGGGAGTGTTGACAACATGATGGTTACAGAGATATCATTATCATACAACATCTAATTATAGCCCATTCCAACAGAATATTGACTTTTGATAATACTGACAGTCACATTTGCATCTAACTGGGTACAGTCCAAAGATGGTGATAAATAAACATTGACTGTTAAAGCTTCTGCAACGAGGTTTGCATAGTGGGAGACGTTTTTTCACAGCACAAGAAATTAGTTTATAAATGTAGTAAAAAAAGGTCATGCTGGGACACTCCTAATTTATACTGGTGCCTTTAATTTCTAAGAGGCGGCAACCTTATCCTGACATAAGGGATCATTGTATTTATTATCAATGTAATTGAGTAGACCATGTGGCAAAAGTTAAGGCAACCATTTATTTATTTGTATGGTCAAGCAAACAATAAGGGCATTACAGGACGTGAACCATTTCCTTATAAACATAAACCTGCCCAGCTCTTTTCTCATTGGTCGAACACAGCCTTCTGAACCTCCTGATTGGACAATCAACTTGTTCGTCAATCCCTAAGGATTCTGATGAATGCTAATGATGGAGCTGAGGAACAAAGCTAGGTATTTACAATATATAACGTGCTGACTCACCGACATGGTTTCATTTTACACTTTATTAATAATCTAACGTCTCAGCCAGAGCAAATTCATCACATAAATGTGTGGAATTACCTCAAAAAAGCAGGTTTCGACACATTAACTTCCCGGTCTCTCTTCCTGTCGAGGTAAATACAATTCCTCCTTTTTTCCCTTAAACCGACGAAAAAAGCACCACAGCGGGCCTCTTTTCGTCACGGACAGTATCGAGGCTCGGCCGGCATTAGAGAGACCACTGATGTCTGCAGCCAGGTGTTTCACCCCTCCAGTTTGCTGTCTGCTAGCGACGCGATGACATTGCACCAGCTCCTGTATAAGCCCGTGAATACATGGTGCGAAATGCAGCGACAACCGTCAACAAAACTCGTCACGTGATCAAAGTCTGACATCACGTGATCCAAACAGCTGTGCTTCCTGGAGAACTAACAATACTATTATTTTCAGTTGTGGCTCGTGTTATTTGCGCTGTTACATGTTCTTGTACAAATGGTAGTATTAAATGAGTTGTGAAAAAAGTAACATTAGGAAGTAAATAAAATGATAAATAATGATGCATCACACATTAAAAGTCCCCTGAAATAATGCGGAATTATGAAATATAAATCCCTTGAATTTATTAAAATAAGCTTTTAAAAAAACGTTATTTTTTTTAATACAAACAAATGTATTTGACACATTTTCTATTGCTCTTCATTATGTCTGTTTTTTATGATGAAATACTTTAAAAATGCCATTCGGTTTTAAGGAGCTCTTGAATTCAACTTTTTAATCTAGAAACTCAAACACACTGCACAGTATACCTTCAGCTCAGGAGATGCTTGCCCTGGAAAGAATCTACCTTATTGTATTGCACTTTGAATTGGATGGGGGACTTACAGGGACATATATATCAAGAAATGAATAAAACAAGAATGGTCCAAATAGATGCTTTTGAGATATCATGACTATATAGTCCCATAAGCTTTTTTCACAGAAGATATTTTTAACATGTCAATGTAAGAACAACACTGGATAACGATTCTCAAAGTGCAACTTATAAGGAAGTCTGTGACACGGCTTTGAAGATTTGTTATTTTTGTCAAATGTGAGAAAACTTCGTCCCAAGCGGCAGAAGACATAACATTATTTTTAACTGGCTTTCACAGGGTACTTAGTGGTGTGCATATTGTGGTAAGTGTGTGTATATATGAATTTACATTAATTCAGTAGTTATATTTTATTGCTTTAACAATTAAGCACACTGTATATCGTATTCTATTACAACTCAAATGGTTGTCTTTGTGGTGGAAAATGAACAAAATAACACTGAAATAAATGTTGCATGATGGCTTTTTTATTCAAACTCAATAAAAAGAAAAAAACATATTCACATCACAGGTCTATTGAGAAAACACTGTACTGTAGAAAAACATTAGTTTCACAAAGAAAGCTGCCCTTTTTTGGAATAAGGCGAAAACAATTTCAAGTAGTGGCATGTTCTTTGTCTTTCTCCATTTATACATATAGTACTATGTACATATATAAAAACACAGGTTATAACCAGTCTGGCGTAACAGTTAAAAATGTATTTGCAGTCAGACATTGTGTTCTCAGTGTCCTGAATGAGGCATACAGTACTTTCAAAATCCCATCAGGTAATACATATCCTTTAGTGTCTGATGTTACCTTTTGCTCGAAGAAGGCAAAGTCAATCCATTCAGAAATACTTCAGTATTGATTGTTCAAGCGTGGAAATGGTTATATTTCATTGAAAAACGCTCCTTCTGTGATGATAAAAGTGCTCGATCTGATTTAGATGGGAGAACAATCTCTCGTCAGCATGACAGAAATTCTCATTGCATTGAGTACATCATTAGATTTGACTGCAGCACTTAACATCTGGATGATAGTCTGAGATTTGTATACTCATCCAGCTAGGAAACATTTTAACATCTGCTGTTCCTGATGGGATTGAGGTGTTAAGTTAATATTGTTTAAAAATGTTAACAGCACAACTGGTGTATACTTTTAGAAGATGCAGACTACTAAAACTCACTTCACAGTTCTGTTTCTCTACAAGTAGACGCCCCTGAACATACAAATGACACCACTACAGTACCTTTGGCAAACACACAGAACTAAGGACAAAATGGAAAAATAGGAATTCATAAAATCATTTTTTGTAGGCTTCAGATGCAGACATTTCCATCAACATTCACCAAATACAAGAGTCTTGTACAGACCTATCAGAAACTATGATAATCAAAACAATCACAACATCATGACAGCTGTGTTTAAGGTTTTCCTCAGAATATGATTTTCAAAAAGAGAACACTTTTTCGCCTCCTAAACACCAGTCCTAGAAGTTTCATTTCATCTAAACTACCCAGCTCGATCTGAGATGAGCTGGAGTGGAAGGCGATACAACAGAAATGTTGGTTAAAAAATGTTCCAGTGGCTTCGGATCTGACGGGGAGTCCTGAAGGTTATGAGAGGTATTGTATTGTGACATGTGTGTAAACTTGTAAATATAAATTTGATAGAAAATAATGTTTCTAGATATTACATTTGTCTTCCCTTACTTGAAGGTCTCCTGATCTTCTGGAAATTGATGGCTCAGTGCAGACTGACAGGAGTGAGGAACAGCATCGAGAACTAAACAAAAGTGCTGACGGATTATAAACAATCACATTCTATAGGCTCAGAAACCCCGCTTTGGCAGAATACTCGTCTCCTACCTCTTCCTCTTGTTCCCTTTCCACCTCCCCTCCACTATGAGCCGCTGAGTTCTTCCTCTTCACTTGTTTGCTGGAGGAGCCCCGGGGCCTCGGCATGGGCACCAACAGGCGGAAGCCCGGCTGGGGCTTAGCGGACGCTGCGCCCAGAACAGTGGTGAAGGTTTTGAATGTGCAAGGCATGAGGGAGGAGGAGGAGCATGTGGATGAGGGGCTAACACTCTGGACAGAGGAGTATCCTGAGCTGTGAACGTCTGCAGGGGAGGGGAGGGGTTCCTTGTCCTGGGAATCCTTGCTCACCTCCCTCTCCGCTTCAGAGAAGCTTTCTTCGTCGCTGGACAAGGCTCTGCAGTGCTCTAGTCTTTTGTCTTCATCAGTCAGCAAGTGCAGTTTGATAGATATCATCGAAGCTATAGAAAAAAAAAGGTGTAAGTACTTATAGGAATATTGATTTCGGGCAAAGCTTAAACTACAAACCTGAACACACTCTACAGCAGCTTCTATCATTCATCCACATTTGTCCATGACAGTTAGCCTGCAGTAACAGGCCTAAATGCTTGTGCTGGTTTATTATGCTAATTGTTGCAACTGCTGTCATCTGCAGTCACTTAATGTCCTACTAAAAGACTGACTCATACATTATTCCTCTTCATATATGGATTAGTTCATTTATATGCTTTACAGAAAAGCACCTTTGAGATTCTGCCAACACCCACAATAGAATAAAAGTGGTCCCTTTTGTTCTCAACACTCACAATCAGCGTCTTTCTCTCCTTCGCTCTCCTCCTCCCGGTCCCCCTCATAACCGGAACTGGACGTGTCCAGGCTCCAGTCCAGGATGTCCACCAGCAGCGTCTCCTCCTGATTGGACAGCTCTGCCGTGGGCGTGGCAACAAATTCGGCTCTGCGGGCCTGCATTGCGTCATCGCGTCTCCTTGGGAGGAAATTGGAGTTACAGTGAGTCACCGCAGCATCTCACAGATGGCACAAACAAACACCTTCTGGCTGAGACGTTTTAAAAGTCTGTTGGTTACAGAGCACACATTACTCAATGGTAGAACCGCTAAAAGAGCAAGAAGAGAGGAGGGGGCTCTGCACATATTGACGTCGGTTACAGAGTTATTCCCAAGACAGAATCCTTCATGTTTTTAAACCCCTGTTACACTCTTGAATGTATGTACAATATGTTGCAAACCTGGGAGCAACAGCATCAAATAACAATAGTGACATTGGGATGGTAATAGTAATACTGCCATGTATTTGTACAATCATTTGCACGCCAGTAAATTCAAAAGAAATCAATTATTATATCGTCTACCTCCACATAGTCAAATCCCTTAATGGGAAAGAGTGCACACCAAGACAGATCAAGTGGATTAATAACATAAAACAGCAAGATTAAAAATAAAAGGTTACCCACTGGCCCTATGCCATTACAAGCCATGCAAGCTTGAGAGTGCTCACTGCATGACATAATAAAAAAAGAGACACTTAAGGGGCACATAAGATGTTCTAGTGGCCAGAATGCCATATCGCATTAAGCGCGACATCATATCTACGTTTATGGTATGGTGTATATCAATAATATGTTGATATAATACCATTTATTTGTATATAAATGGTGGAATGTGTGTGTTACCTCTTGTTGGTGCTGGATGGAGAGGCGAGGAAGGTGTGCATGTCTGCTGGGGGACCGGTGGGACTGGGAGGCTCCATCTGGGGCTCCACCTCAGGAACCTCCAAGATCTGACACAGCTCTTTGAAATCCATCACCTAGTGGAGACCATCAAATAATCAATCAATCAATCACGATGACACAATGAGCTACAATTCTTAAAAGCTTGTTCCTATACCTGAAATAAATAATAACATACCTTTTCTTTGCTGATATGCTGGTAGGCGTCATCTTCAAAGCGTTGCTTTACACCAGTAAGAGATACATGCCTGTAATCTTTGGGAACGTCCGGGCTAAAACTGTGAAGAGAGAGAGAGAAAGAAAGAGAGATTACTTGTTTGAGTTTGATCCACTTTGCTTGCTGCATCAGCTTAATCAAGTCTTGGGGACAAATCTTGTTACCTGTCCATTTGAGAATTACAGTTTGTCGATACGATGCTCACCTATCAAAGTGACTCACCCCGAGGCACGTTTCTGTGACTCAGTGGGTGACTCACTCATGGCTACACACACACACACACACACACACACACACTCCATCCTCCCCCGCTCCCACACTTCCAATGCCTGCCACTGTCTCTTATGAGTCTGCAGCCCTCTGTGGGCTTCATGTTTGCTTTAATACCATAATGGCCATCCATCGTCTTGGTCACCAGACATTAGACACAATCGTATATCTAATCAATGTGGCTATACGAGCGTGCTGAAAACAGACTACACGTCACCAACCAATTCTTGTTATCTCTTTCCATGGAGGACAACATGATGGAGCACGAGTCCTGCGTGAGCCAGAGTCAGGAAATGGACTCTCATTTTCTATCGATTAGACTTTAATATATTTATGTTTTTCCCCAATTAGGATAAAGGCTTGAAAAGGTGCTGTACAAGGAATAAGACAAACTAATTATCAACCCTCTTTACATTTTCCTGAAATATATAGCTTCTTACAAGTTGTCTTTTGAATGTTCAAGAGGCTCACAGGGAAATAAATGTTTGGAACCACTGTGTTGAATCAGTTTTACCACCCATTTTACTTACCAAAACACCTTCACAGTATTATTATTATTGCTTTTATCTTTTGAGCAGCATTTTTTCTTTCCCTGCCGCATAGCAATGAAAATATAGAGTTCCAACTTTCCTTAGCAACAATGGCAGTTGGCTTTTGTGTGGACTGAAAGGATGATTAAAGCACACTTGTGATCTGCAGGGGATTTCACAATAACAGCCTAAACCACAATTTACTGCAAAAAGATACAACACAAGTCAAATACTGCCAGTGTAACCAACAACACCTTATTTGTGAAAAACAACTAAGCTGGCCGGATAATGACATGTTGGGAACTCTGCCGCGCGATCAACTGAGAAACATAATGCGCCAATCGGCACCAATTTAATCTGCTAACCTGCCACCTGTTGCATTTCCTCAAAGGATGAAATATGTTCATTCAAGATTTTAACTGATTTCATTAGTCACAAGTAGCTATTTATCCTGCAGAGGGCCCACCAGAAGTGCTTTTATGTACCCTTTGAGAATACAATTGCTATACTGGCTTTCCTTTTCAAAAGGTCACGATAAAACGGATGTAAATCCTATTAGTACTGATCTCATTGGCGCTTCCCTGGGACTGCATTAAGGAAAAGGACTTGTTCTGGATGTGTCTGAATGTGACCAGACAGGATGGGTGATGGCAGAAGGAGGGAGATGAGAGAAATTATTTTCTGGGATCGATTCAAACCACACACAGTAAGAAGCTTACCACTTGACATAGAGCAGCACAGAGAGGGAGGCGAGGTCTTGCTTGGAGAATCCTGTGTAGTCAACCAGCTGGCTCGGCCACAGGGGAGCTGCAGAGGGACAGGCATACGTTTAGGAGAACATCAACATTACACTCAACTCCAGCTGTAAATCCTATTAGATGGAAAATAATATTTCCATTACGTGTCAATGTTTAACGGTGCTTTTGAAATAGGTATGTGTTTCAGTGAGTGTTATTACCATAGTGATGTAGTGCTCGTGTAAGCAGTAGTGCAGCACACGCCAGTTTGGAAGGCGGTGGTGTGGCGAGAGCAGAGTATAGCAGCGACAGCTCGCAGACGTAGCTGAACATGTGCATGGTCCTTCTCTCCAGAGGGAGCAGAGACAGCAGAACCTCACCGTAATCCAGCAGAGTGGGACTCTGAGGGAAAGTGCAAATAATCACATTTAACATCTGAATTTCAGTGCATAAAATATTGTTAATGAAATGAGTATACGTGTTGTTCTTACCCTTATCTTTCCCTCCAGCACAGAGACGACCTCGCCCATCATTCGGACCAGGTCCTCATATTTGTACGTGTTGTCTGTGAGCCAGACCGCCTCCCGTATGGTCAGGATTTCTTTACTGACGTAGCTGAAAACAAAAGAACCACATTGTCAAAATGGTTAGAAAGGAATGTATTTTAAACCTTAAGTAATTGCATTTATTAAAAATAAAATAAAAATCTGGATCATTACATTACCCCAAATGTGTCAACAATGAAATTAAACATTTCAAGGAAGAGGCCTGCGAGTTCTCACCGTGTACAAACTACCATGCAGGCAATTCCCAATAACTGGAGGCGAGCCTTGGGCACAGAGCGCAGGGCGAGGTATCGATCAACGCAGCCCACCGTCACATGCAGCGTCAGGCTGGAGAAATCCTTCATGGTGGTCACCTCCACGAGCCAGTCCACCAGGATGTACCTGGACAGGCAGAGAAGCAGACATTAATCAGTGTGTGCACAACAAAACAAAAAACAGGGATACATTTACCCAGAGTCTAGTGTTAAAAATACTTTTGAACCTAATACAGTGGATTGCAGAGTCACGGGGTAGATTATTAAAGTCCTTAGCCTTTATGTTCTAGAGGCCAAAACAAGCCGTTAGCCTTAATTGCCCATTCAGGATTTGAAATCTCTCTTAAAGTTGTCATACCTCCACTGTCTTACATGGGGTGAAGGTTTAACTTGATCTTTTCAGTAACCACTTGCTGTCGTTCTGTTTGATCTATTCTTTAACAATGTCATTAAATGAAAGCCAAGATGATCAAAACACAAGGAGTCATCGCAATGACTAACCAAATTCAATAGTCTAGAGAGATATTAATGACCAGCAGACTGTAATCATGCCAGTAATATTATGGTATGTTCCTGAATACCTCATGGTGTCCTTGATGTCTCGCCTCAGGACGCCCTGAGTGCAGTGTCGTGACGCCGGGTTCGGGGAATTGAAGAGCTGAGCCACCAGGTCCGAGCAGGCCTTGGACTCCAGACCCAGAGGATTCCCACTGCTGCACACTTTAGCCAGAGACAGCTGAGGAAAGAAGACACATGTTTGAGGGTTTCAAAGTGGCTTGACAGCTTGTTGAATTGGAGCACTTTCAACAATAAGGTTGAGTACTGCAGTGGTTTGTGGCTGTGATTGCACAGCTTTTGATTTGGATGACTCATATTTTGGAGGTTCAGTGTTGCAGTTTGGGCCAAATTATGAACAAAAAAGAAAATCGTCATCCAAATGTCAAGCCCTCTTGAGACTGCCTGATAGTTGTTCAATAAGAAAAGCTTCAAACTCTAAACAAATGGAGGACTGGGAAATGACAAACACTGTCTTTTATATCATTACAGTGAACAAACCAAGGGCAAAAGACTGACTGAATAAGCACATAACAAAGAAAATCCACTGCTGCATCCTTATAATGGCATTGTTCTGTCTTCAATCCCACACACCTGTGCCTCCCAGCATCCTTTGCCGGCATAGTCCCTCAGGGTTCGGATATACTGGAGGTACCTGCCTGGATCTGCCATCTGGAATCAAACCACAAAACAGTTAATAATTATTATATTATTATTATTATTATTATGTTGTTTGTTTGAGTATTACATTTTTTTTTAAATTAGGTCAAAGAGATATTTTGCTTAATGCAATAAACATGGAAACTATCAATGTAATCAACTCTAAAGCTTGAATGAACAATACTATAAACAACTTAGGAAGTGCTTCAGTGTGACATGGTGAAACTGTACAGCAGCTTAAAGAATAAGGTCACTATATCGATCAATAAATCCTCACTATTAAGCTAAATGAGGGATTCGGACTCACAGCTGCTTTCCGGTTGTGTTCCCACAACATGTAGGAGCTCTGCAGACAGCCAGACTTTGAAGACTCCTCCAACATAGATATGGCCTCCTTGCGTCTTTCCTCATCCTATAAAAGGTAACAAAGTTCCAGGTGTGAAAAACAAACAAGAATTCCATAAAAGCATTTATATGTCATTTGTCAGATCAATAAATAACAAAGCACACAGAGAGTACGAAGAATTGACAGAGGCTGTTGTTTAAAGGAAAATAACAATTATCCATCTGTGCTGCTATGAACTAGTCGGACAGCCCCCCGTCCCAACAGGGCTAAACTATACACTTTGATGAGAGGCTAATAGAAACTGGGCCAACCCCATCCGGACAGAGGTGTTTAGATTCAGTCTCACTCTCACACTCACTTGAAAGAGCTGCAAAACTCTGGCCAAACAGTGCAGCAAGGGTCCTCTCTTCTCCTGTAGGGAAAGGAAAATATATTGATGAAGATTAGAAATCATTTGCATTATTTTCCTTATAATACTCAATACTCCACTTTTTAAAATATTTTAATGAGATTATCCAAGCAGAGTACATTTCTGTGTTTTAGTCATGACATTAATTCCACTGTGCAATAAAGGCGTGGTTTTTAAGCCAAAACAATAACCTTGGATTTTAATTGTTTGAAGAGAATAATAATCTGATTTTGCTGATGCATTTACAATATTATGACCGTCATCACTGCTGACCTCAACGTTGCATTAAAAACAGAAAAGTATTAACATGATATATGCTTCTTAGTTGTTGACACAGGCTAAACAAAATTGCAGCTCAATTGTCCTTAAACATTGGTTGAAAGAGAAGCACATTTTTCTTGTGCTCTTAATTTATAAGACCCAAACCTACCACGTTATTGTCACACTCAGCCTTGAGACGGTCGAACACCACAGCTTTACAGCAGCTGCCGGTGGGGGACCATGGTGGACGGATGAACACCCAGATGAAGGGATCTGTGGTGGGAGAGTGCAGACTCTCTGCCAGGCTGAAGAAGTGGGAGGCCTTGCGACCACATACATCCGCTCGCCCCTCATCACTCAGCAATGCTGTAGAGAGAAAAGGCCAGGAGAAGTTATCACCTGAAGCAATCACCAAGTGGGTTTAATCTGCCACAATTACACTTGACCTTTTGTTTAATTTGAATGTATTTCTTGCAGTTGTGTATTGCTTAACTTACGTCCTTCATTGTACAAAAACGCGATGCCTAGCTTCACAGCAGCTTCAAAATTCCCTTTCTCGGCAGCTCTGAAAGAAGAGAGATGTTCCAGGTAAAAATCCAAAACACAAAAGTTGTTTTGTCTGACTTTATTTGATAGAAGTAACTGTACCTTTCAAAAAGCCACAAGGAGCTAGGGGATGGCCAAGTGTCCCTGAAACTGACCCTGGCCCATACACTGGAGTGCTGGTCAACAATGTCCCGCAGCTGGGAGTGAACCTGTAACAGAAGCCAGGACAATTAGTTAATCAATAAATGAGTCATCTGACAAACAAAATCAGGTGGTCACAAGATGCCCAAGCCCAAACAAATCTTGGCACATGCATGCTAGTTTGTGTGTTAGTGTTACATTATGTTTACTCACTGCTCTGACAGACAGCAGGTCTTCAGCAGAGAGGCACTGGAGCACACAGAGGAGGACCTCTTCAGGTAGAGACAGCAGGGTTAGGGCTGGAGTTCGCTTACGGACCCTCTTCCGTGCCGGAATCGAGAAACATTTTGGACAACGGCAGTGGACTAGTGAGAGAAAAAAGGAAATTAAATGTTAGATACGTCATATACTTGAACAAAAACTTAAACAGAAGTGCACACACACAATATCAACCCAAAAGCATTTCACACCCCTGTGCTGGACCCACCAACAAATTCCCACTATAATGTCAAGCAAATATTTACACTTAATTTAAAAGCAGGCCAGTTGTTATGTTTGCAGATGGTCACGTAAAAGGTGAAAGTTATGGCTCCACGTTCAATACGCCTTAACTTAATGCATCTGCGGGTGGTGTTGTCTAACCCTCTTTTTTAATACAGAAATTATTAAATACATGGATAGCCTTACAAAGTTTCGATATAAGGATACAACATTATAAAGTTAAGTGTTGAAAGCATACCTTATAGCTAACGTTATCTAACGACAGTGAACTCAGCATAATACTGGGAAAAGTCAACCCAACTGAGCGCCCAAATTTCCCTCCTGTGCTTCAAATGCAACTACCGTTAAGTAACGACCAGATTTCACGAAGTTTAACATAACATTACCGTTTTTAATTACCACAGACTGGTACAATACCAGGGAGAGACACATTGTATTTAATATTGTTAGCATTAACCCATTACTATAGTTAGTCACACAGAAGAGGAATCCGTGGCTAACGTTTGAGTTGGCTAGTGGCTAATAACCAGCGCTAACGTCAACTAACTATGTCAAACTGCAAGAATTTAAAGCAGCTTCAAAACCACTCACTATACAATACGTTATGACAATATTTATGGTAGTAATAGCGAGTTTTGGTTGACTTTAGTTACTTACCGCCCGCTTTCATTGCAAGTGTAGTGATCTCTCCTTACAGTGATGTAGCTACAGCACTGAGAAGTGAATTAAACGTTCCGGCGATACTAGCTAATGTTACACAAATCAAACTCGCAGTCTATAAACACCCTGAAAATATGGTATACAGATAACCAGTAACCCTGCCCACTGCTTCTGTTGTGCTGTGGTGGTGACTAATATCGAACAAGTTGTTAGCTCTTTCCTGAATTCAAATTCAAGCACGAGTACTTACTTCTTGGCTCCGCCCCCAAAGCTACTCTATGACCGCCCACACCGACAGTTTAAACACCACGTTCAATCTAATTGGTCAGAACTGTTGACGCCTATCTACTAACAATAAGCGATTTCATTGGCCAGCGTGAATAACAGTTACAGCGATTGGTCAGGATTTATAAACTGTAAATTATCAGAAGATCATTGGACAAGGTAATGCCATTTCGAACTACGCGCTTGCCAGTGGACGATTATCATTGGTTAATTTTATTATGAAGACCGTCCACAAACCCATCCATTTACCGTAGATCGTGGGAAATGTAGTTAAACAGAAAAAGCCGTATTAAAGGTACGCTGTTTAAAGGGACAGGCGCATAGTCAGATCCAGAGGTGTTTTTGTATTATCACAGTATCAAATTACTTTGTACAACAAGCAGAGAAAGTTATTTTTACACTGTGTCTTGGTGATACTTTTATACTTCAAACAAATCTCTCGTTTTCTGTTAGTCCTGGGCTCAATGAGAGATGTTGGTATTCACATTTGCATTTTTTACTGTTTTAGCCTCACCAACTAACAAACATTGAGTAAAATCACAATATTTAACATGTCTTTTATTCAATAAACTGTGTAATACATTTGGTAAACATTTTCATATTTTATCCCTCTACATTTTGTATTATTGTTAGAAAAAGCCAACTCTACATTATAATGGTTGTAAATCAATTCTGATCAATACGTTTTTATATAGAAGATATTTAATGTTAAAAGCTGAATCCATATAATTCACATATTACAGAGGACTTGACCTCAACGAAGGATATTTTTGGTTGTACCTCTTGCCCTAGAAGCAAGTGATAATACAATAAAGTAGTTATTTCTGTCAAATTAAAGACAAGGAATTACATCGTAAATTCTAGCCAGATGCACTTTGGTGCATTTGTAGTCCGAGGTACAGGATAAAGGAGCAGGGAAATGCATATCCAAATCGATTTTTAGGATGCTTTGATGTTATAAGTTAATCAAGAGAAGCCGATAGTTAACGTAAGTAAGTGTGAGTCAAAGGTTAAGTGAAGATAATAAAAAAAATGTGCAGGAACACACAAAATTAATTATTTGTTTTTGGTTCAACGAGCATGTTAAAAAAAACATGACAAGCACACACACAGATCAGGAACAAAAGCAACTCAAGCAGCATATTAGTTCTGCCTTTGACGACAGCTGACTTTGAGAAAATAACAGAAAATGAAAGGATAATTAAGACCATTGTGTCTGATGCCCATTGTGATTAAATAGACTACTGTCTTGGATGAATAGTGTCCTCTTCGTTGCCGCTCTTTGGTCATAAAGGAGCAGAGTAGACTACAAGAAGAGATAATTTGTTCCTGTCAGGCTTACTATTGATCAGCACTTCAGTCAATCTTCGACTCACCTACAAATGATGAGAAAAAATTTCCAGCACTCAATAGTGTTCTTTGAAAAGAAGAGAACGAAAGAGAATGAAGAAAATAGTTTTCTTTGTTTAAAACAAACAGTATATTTTGTATTAAATATACCCCCACCCAAATTCCAATTTGCAAGCCAATTGTTTAATTATCTTTGTTAGATCTGTAAATGTTTCTCCTCTATACATTTCAACTTAAACATGTGTGACAGTGAATAAACAAAATATATGTCTGCTAAATTGCTCTGTGTTTATTGAAGCGTGTAATTGTTGCCTCAATCTGGAGCTTTTGTATCAAATTATCTGGTAGCATAATGACCTCAGACGGGGCAGACACTGTGACATCCTTAATTTGATGCAGTTACCGTTTCCATAGAAACTCCAACCATTTTACTCAGTAATACACAACGTGGCTAGTAAAGGCTAGGGAGAAGCGAGCGGTTGGAGTATTTCAACTACATTTTAAATAATTACAGAAATAAAATCATGCACAAAGTGCTCACAAAACTGCGGGGTACAAGTCGTCAATTTTGTTCACTTAGCATTCGTTATTTATTCTCTGAAAAGATGTGCCGATATAAAGCTGCTGCCTCCCACAGGAAGTAATTGTGTTTGATTCGAGAGGTAGATTGGAAAGCAATAACTTTACATATTCATTAGAGCTGCGACCATGCAGCAGGGTATTAGCTAATGAAACATAGAGAAGAACACTTTATGAAAAAAAAGCTTTTGTATATAGAAACATTTGTTGACTGACCTTTGAGATAGAAAGAGAGGGAGGAGATTGAAACAAGATGGAAAGTAAGGGGGGTCATGAGAGTATATAGAGACAAAATGCAATATCTTTTTATCTGTTAGTATTTGACAATGTCTCATTATGCTCATCCGGAAATATAAAAAAGATCAGTGTTCAGTGAGTGTGGCAGTCTTCCCGTTCTCTCGAGTACCTGCGGGATCAAATCTGGCTGTGATTTGATTTGACTGTCTAGCCAGGCATGCGTGATTTCCCTCCACACCTGACTGTCTCCAAAACAGCTTCCGTAATATCTGAATCAAATTTAAATGTAACTCAATACTAATAAAAAAGTATCATTTAGAGCAAAGAGCAAGAAGTGACTAATTAAAAACAGAAGACAGAATTGCCTATAAAAAACAAAAAAACATATCGCAGTCATATGGCTCAAATCCAGAACAACCTAACGTCTTAGTGCATGTTTTTCTGGCTTTGCAATTTAAACTGATGTCAGTTCTGCCAAAATAGTGCTAAATACTTGGGTTTGAAGCCAAATTCTGGAGATTGAGAAGAGGATGAGTTGATCCAATATGGTTTCCTGCATTCTGTGCTGACCCTAGCATCCAACTGACCACTTCCACTCCATCGGCACTTTGCTCTCCCCACCCCTTTATCCAGACTTTGACACTGTTTCCTCCACACCCACGGCCGTTTCCCAGCAAAGTTACCATGGATGATCAAATGAGGTAATAAATACAAAATAAACTCCCAGTGAATTTGCTCGTGTTTCAATAACAAGCTGAGTACGTCTGGCACTGTTTATTTTAACATTATGCCAGTAGAGGGTGTCCTTTATTCTGCTTGCTACTGGTCAGTCTGTTTTCCTAACAACCAAAAGATCACACCCGTCTCTTGGTATCTGACCAAGTCACCCAAGCTGGCAGGGCAGCACATGGCAATGCGTCTATATACAGCCTCCAAATTTCAAGCACAGGACAGGGGAAGCCCAGGTGGTCTCGTCAACCAAATATGTTTTTTATGTTCTATGTACATGGCTACGTGTGGTGATAAGTATAATCTAACGTGCACACAAAATAGAGTTAAAACATTGTTAGTGCATCATCTCCTCACTGTCCTCTCCCCATATTCCAAATACATTCGTATCTATCCCTGTGGATAACTCTGAATCATCTCCCAAATCGAAGAAGTTTAAAGCAAAGTATTTAGTAAGTGCTTGGAGGGTTTAACCTCAAGCTGCAAACTAGAACATCACAGACCAGTGTGTTCACATAACATTTATTTAATACAATTAAAAGATGTACAGATAAGTAGAAATATACAGTACAGTAGAAATATAAAATTGTCATATATACAGCACCAAATATTAGAGGGCACACAGACATTTTTTGGGTCACTCGCTGGAGTGGCAAACAGCATTAGAAGACAGCATGGTTGTCTACTGGGTGAGGGACCTATTTCCCCGCAGCAAAGAGAGGTAGATTTTCCCTTTAATATTTGAGAAGGCAGAAGGGAAATCACTTCACATCATTAACAAACAAATTCTGGTCACCTGCCATCACTTTTTTGTATTAAAACACTGTCACAATACAGCTTGAAAGTTAGAAAGTACAAGTATGCAACAACAATGTACTACATTGCTAAAAAAGGTCAAACTAATAATTACTCTTTATGAGCAAAAGATTAAGGGCTGATTTGGCGAAACATTATCGTATACAGTTGTTTGCGTATAGACTGGTCTATGCTAGTCCTATTTTTTGTCAGTAAATAAGGTATGCTA